ACTTGACATCAAATTATATTGAGGCACATTTCCCAATATAAATTTGTAGCAGAGCGTCCACTGTCCCAGGGGAAATGCTTTCAAGTTAGGGAGGTTTTTAATGCATTGTTTCTACAGGAATCCAGACGGGGACTTGGAATAAGTAGATATAGGGAGGTATTCAACGTAGGGAGGTTCCATTTATCAAGGTACAACTGTGCCATAGAAGAAAACATCTTTCAAAATTTTTAATGCAATGGTACGTATGTGATTTAGTAATTTCTTAATTTTTTATCAAAGGCGACGAGCAGAAGAAGAAGAACGACAGCGAATTGAGAGAGAGCATCGTGAGGCAAAAGAACGTATCAAGCGCACTTATGAAGAATACTTTATCCGATTGGACCAATTGAAAGAAAGTTTTGGGTTGTTGTCTCGGAACCAAGTTCACTTGCAAGTTGTGCTTGATGAACGAACGAAGTTGGCCCAAGTAAGTCTTGGCGTTATTTCTGGAATGTTTGAATCCGCGGTGTACAATTTTTGGTTAATTTTTATCAAGTGGAATCGGTACATGAGATGTGACGGTTTACCGGATCCGACGGATTTGCCACAACTAAACGCGTATTTATCAACGTGGTTTGAAGACGAAAATCCGGATCGGTTGGAGATCAACGAAGTTTTGAGCAAATGTGCTGAAGTGTTGAAGGTTGGATGATCTGACTTTTTGATGTTTTTCACTCTGACGCCCGACATTCTGTGATGGTTCTCTATCTCCGTGTAGGAGTTGCCTAAAATTAGTCACGTTTCATTAGGCGTTGGTTACATTATGTCGACGTGGTTTTTTAGGTTAGATTTGGTCGTGATGGGTAGGTTTGGGTTTTTTGTGTAATTTTCATTCGCAGAGATTCAGACGACACTTCTAGAAATCCTAAAAATTAAGGTCGGGCGTTAGAGTGAAACGAACACTTCTTCTCATTTAATTAAATATATTCACATTTAACGTATTATTCCTGCAGGTATTGCAAGAAGTTATGCTTTGCCTAAACGATTTCAGAGAAATTCCGAAGCATAAGAAGCGCTTATTTCAAACCGTAAGTATCCTGAATGTTGAGAATGAGCTACTCAGTTGAGGTTCTGATTTTATTTCGATGATTCTAGTGGATTGAAGACGCGCATAATTTGTTACACGTGAAACTGGACCTCGCGTGCTACGCGTTATTTCTCGAAGGAGTTTGTCACATGAAGAATCCCAACGCTGAACAAGTCGACTATTTCATATCAACTGATGTGAGTGTCACATGAAAAAAATAAGATTTAGAATAAATGTGAAAGGAAAATTAATGCTTCTTGTAGGTAGCAGCTGTAGGGCTTTGGCGCCTTAACACAAGCAATAGAGGCGAAGTGAGGGGGTTCTCTTTTCAAGAACTTGGATTCACTTTTGAATGCCCGGCCACGATTCTCGAAGGACTCGAATGTATTTTTCGTGTTCTGAAAACGTCTTACGATCACTACTCGCATCACTGTCGCTCTTTGGTCTTGACAAAATTCGTGGAGAATATTCCAAGCCTCGGTGAGAATAACTTACTTAAATCCTTATTTTTACCCCGAATCAGTGATTCTGTCCATTACAATGAAATTCAATCAAGATTTACCCTTGGATAGATTCCGTTCTCAGTATTTTTTTTAAATCAAGTTTTCTATGATTCCTCGAATATTAAATCGCAGAGGTACTTCACAAGCAGCAGGCTGCACCGCCAGTTCCTGGGAAAGCTCCGATTCGTTTACAGCCGACGACAGAGGCCGAGGGCCCGGGAAAGCGTAAGATTTCTTCGACAAGTAGCATCACGACTTTGCTCAAAGAAGGCGAGGAATATTTTATTTTTCTAAAATCTTGCGCTGTTTTAATCATCAATTTAATGTAATTTTTGCAGGAGAAATTGACGTGAAACAGTTGAAAATGCTTGTCGAAAGCGACGAGTTAAATTTAAGGGAATTCGCCGTCAATGGAGGCATTTATCACGTCAACTTACTCGAGGTCCCACCGGAGCCACAGAAATTCGGACCCTTTGTCATTGTTGAAGGTAAAGAACTGAGAAGATTTTTCGATTTTATTGGAATTTTTGCTCAGGTTTGGATGAAGGGCAAAAATGAACAAGTAGGTGAAGAAATAAGGTAAACTTTGAAAAAATGTGTTTTCACTAATCCGCCGAAATTAAATGTGGGAAACTCCTATAGAAGTGCAAAAGGGAAAAATTAATTCTGCGAGCTTATTTCTTTTTGGTCTCTGAGCAGATATTTCTGCGTAGAATATCAAGTTTCTCATGTCAAACCTGAAGAGAAGTCAAATGTGACGAATAAAAGATAAATACTGTTTTGTTACTGTTCCAACTTTATGGCCCAGTCGGAGAAATGAACTCAGATTTTTGGCAATGAATTCGGGGTAAAATGGACTAGGGTGTACTTTTAGAAACAAAACTTTTTGTAGAAAAAATATAGATTCCAGTGGCATCTTTTTTTGGAATTTTTTCATACCTAGCCTGCCCTTTGCTATATTTTTGTTATTGCAGACTTGATGCGAAGTAATATCTGTACTCTTTTAGTTCTTATCGATTTTTTTCGCGACAAATAGATTTTCATGATGCACTTGAACATTGAAATTTTTCAGTGGAAGATCCCCCGAGCATTCGTGAAATTCATTTCGTGGCTGACTACAAACCCCCTCGACCGCCGAGTCCTGCGACAGGTGGCCAGTCAAGGCGACGTGATCCAGAAGAAATTGAGCGTGAATTGCGTCAGCAAGAGTTGGAACTGCAGAAATTGGTCTGGATTGAGATTCGGTGAGAATTGTATCCCACTCCATCCTTACTTAAGTCGAGTTTATTTTTTATACTAATAAATTCAGTCAATGGGATTCTGTCTCGAAGAATATACGAAAGAAATGAGAGAATTTCATTTTTCAGATTGCCGAGAAACATCTTGTGGTTTGAGCCACCGGTCATCGTTCGGTGGGATGAAGAAAAGAGCTACTGGTCTACGAACGGGTTCTATGATCACAAATACGTTGAGGAGCAGCTGACGTTGACTGTCCGCTTCGTTTCTTTTGGCATTTTTGCCCTGGCTCAGCGAAAATTCTCCAACTTTCCCTATCAAACCTGGGATCTGAAACCCGTGGATGAAACATTGATATCTTACACCATTTCAGCTGCTGTTGTTACGGCTGAGTTCAATATACAGGTTAGTTTTCCCCCTCGTTCGTTCATTATGAACTTGGTGGCTCCCTCTGAGGAAATCTCGCCAAGGCACCATTCAAAAAGTCGAAGTACAGTACAGTATTTTCTTCGTTATCTCTCTTACATCTGTTCTTCATGCTCAAGTTTCGTGAATTGTGTACCGTAATTTCGTGCAAAGAGCCCAACTTCCAACCTTTTGTCTACATTTTAAAATCTCATGCGGTTGGAATTTTCGCAATCCCTTCGGATTCTATGCACGCCTGTCTCTCTCGGTGTCAGACCTAGCATTGAAAAACCAACAATTGACCGCCTGTCAAGCTCTTCGCCAGCTCTTGAAGACTTATTTTTTGTGCAGGAGGGATTAGTTTCTCTAACATCATTGCAAAATGGCGCTCAAGCCGTTTTAACGCATCTTTACAACGATTTTATGGCACCTGAGGAACTTCTTAAGGTGAGTGCTTTTATGAAAAGGCATTTGTCTGAATCGGAAAACATATTATTCGGCAATTGATGACTTTCGCTATCCCTAGGTACTGATGTCAACTTGAGAAGTTACATTTTTCTACGGTAAATCACATGAGCGAAGTATTCGAGAGCAATGATCACTGAGGAAATATCATAATCACTGAGGAAATAGGAAAAATCAAGTAATCTGAAAAGAAGATGAAGCAGATGAGAGAAAAAACTGTAATGCATGCGTTCCATCGGAATGAATGATTTATTTAAAGATGAATGCCCGAATGCTTCCTTTTGCGGCATTGAGCGGTCGCGGAAATTATTTCCCGTTCAAGGAGATCATTAAAAATGCATGTCGACAAAAAATCAATTGGGTCAATAACTGCGAGAAAATTTTCTGGATTTGGAATGGGATGTTTGAAACATGCAAGTGTAGCAAAACAGAGCTTTTACAAAAGTAATTTTTCATTTTTTTTTTATAAATTATGAAGATCTTGCAAGACTACGGCGTGAACTTGAAGCCGGAAGCGGATTCACCGTTGTACATTGAGGGACTTCCTATCAAAGATTTGGCAACTGAGTCTCATTTGTATCGAACGATGGCGATTACCTCCACTGCGACGCATTACGCGTGGTCCCGTTGGAATTTGCTGGCTGGTGCTGAAAAGCTGGTCATTCAGTACAAGGAAAAAATTGGCTCCCTACCCGCGAAGGTAGATCAATTAATATTGTACTAAAGAAGGAGATACTGATAAAATCAGTGTACAGTTCTAGTTTTTCCCCTGTGTCAAACGAAAGCGAAGGAATTCTGTCCAATTGCGTTCGATTTATTTCAGGGTGTTAATGATCTATTTAACACAATTTTATTTTATCTCAATGATCTCTTGGGCTGTCGTACGTAATAATTTTCAAGTTAAGTGGCTGCAAAATATTTGTTTCTTATCGGCTCTTCAGCAGCAAAAACTGACGAAGGAATCACAAATTTTGGAACATAGCAGTTTTAGAAACCTTGAAATTAAAAAAAAAATTCGAAATTGGAGCTGAAAAGTCCTCTTCAACGTTGTCTTCGGATGCAGAGGATGTAGCGGAGAGAACCTCAAATTCACAAGCATCCTAATTTTATTCATTATGTTATTCTCATTTCGTGAATTTAGAGCCCGAACCATGCATTAATCCTCGTCACGCCGGATAAAGCAGCCCTGCTGGATTGCTCTGACACCAGCCAGGCATTCTCAGAGGCTGAACTACCTGGTTATGAATTCACTGCTGACATGAACTTCCTTATACGGAAGACGGGGTCCGAGGAAGCCGTGCGAATGATCGAAAAAATACCGTGCGACTTGGCAGAAGCTATTTATGAAATGCTCATGCTGACGAAGCCGATGTCCTATGCCTAAATTGAAAAATTGAAAATTAGGGTGAGGTGTAATATTAATGGGCCATGAGTTTACATGGAAAAAGCTGGTCTATGGGTGGTCCAGAATCGTGCAACCGATCCAAGGAATTCAGTACTGTAATGTGTATTTGTGTATTTTAACATAATGAATATCATCCCCTTACTATGACTAATTTTGAAGCATGATCTAAACGAAATAGGAAAAACTTGACTTCTAAAGGCCATATCAGAGAGAAAAGTCCGGCGACTTCATTCTTGGGCCGCGTCACAGAAAATTTCAGTGAGCCATAATTCGCAATTCGTTACTCTTTGAAGAAAATTTTTAAAATTGTTTTAAATTTAAAATTTGTGCACTTTTTTTCAACCTGAGCAGTGGATTCTCCTGCTCATTTTGAAGCAAGTGACAGTGCATTTACTGTTTGTCGAATATCAGCAAGGATTGATTTTTCAATTCAGAGGACTTGATGAGGAAGTAATCCGTGAATTGATGAAGTATGTTTGGAAAATGAGTTTTCATGAGTATAGCTGCTTCAAGAATTTATTGTGCAGTACTATGTTGGGTGAATTAATTTTTTTCTCAGACGATTTTGGGAACTTTATTCGAGCTGTGCGGTATGAATCATGAATTTTTTCAGTTCTCTCCTGAGTTGTTTTAACAAGGGTTTTTTTCAATTTCAGAGGGGTTTATTAAAATAAAAGTTGTTGTGAGACACTGTCAGATACAGCCCTCGAATGGGCGCAAGTGCGAAGCAGCCAGAAGTGATAATTCCAGGATGACTTACTATTTCGGTCCCTCTAACCGGTCGACTCCCTTGCGTGGAACTGATATTGGTAAGATTTCGATTCCTAGAACATATTTTCTTTCTTTGAACATTGAACATGTGTCGCAAAAAAACGGTAGAGAATAATTGTCACCCTAAGGAATCCGAATTCTCAGAAAAACTTGTCCTTGTACATCTCTGTGTGAACTTGGTAAGACCTTGGTTCACATATCCATTTTCCTGAAAGCCTCCAAGGCTCTTTTTTATTGCCAAATCCTAATACTGTTATTTGTCCTTGAAGGACAGTTTTCCTGTTTTCCTACTTCATCTCAAAAACTCACTCTTCTCTGAGCTCTCAAACCAGACACTCCAGCATTTTTGTGAATATTGTGTGTGTTGACTGTTCTTGAANGGCTCTTTTTTATTGCCAAATCCTAATACTGTTATTTGTCCTTGAAGGACAGTTTTCCTGTTTTCCTACTTCATCTCAAAAACTCACTCTTCTCTGAGCTCTCAAACCAGACACTCCAGCATTTTTGTGAATATTGTGTGTGTTGACTGTTCTTGAAGTACAACAACCTTAAAATAGGGCAAAATTTCACACAGGTTGTAGCCTGACCAAATTCTTTGTGACATTTATTTCTAAAACATATTCTATTTAAATTTTACTAAATCATTTCTAACTAAATTTGGTAGCAGAGCATGGTTTTCAAGTCTCTTGGATGAAGTTTAAAAACTTTTTCTTGAAACTATCAAAACCTGTGAAAAATTGTAATATATATATATTTACAGTATATTTAACCCAAATCCATATCAAGTGTATATTCCATTCTTTCAAAGTTTGATAAAATTTTTTTGTATAAATATCTACATATATTTATATATTTGCAAATTATTCATTTTTTTTTGAGTGAAGTGAATTCAAATTATTCATCACATGAGTGTGTCTAACAGTGCAAGTGTTTTATACTCAAAATTCACAAGAAAAAATCACTTTGAAATCAAAATCCAAAAAGGAAAAGCTCAAAATTCCAAGAGGAAGACCTAGAGGGTCAAGAATATCAAGAAATACTCCAATCAGAAGTATTAACAGACCTCAAAGGTCTTCATCAAGAGCCAGACCATTAATAACTCCTATTGGTCCCATTTCACAAAATTTCTCAAGATTAATCAGTCCTAGAGGAACTTCAATAGCCAAAATAATCATTGTATCTCAAACTGTCCTAAAAGGAGACACTGCATATCTTGAATCTAACCTTGAACAATAACACAAACTCTTTGAAGAAATTTTTAAACAATTTTGTTGAATTTCTTTGTCTTAGAACTTCTAAATCTTGATTTTCTCATACAAGAAGAAAGAAAATTGTTAAATCTACTCAAATCCAAAATTGAAACTATTGCTGTTAAAAAATCTGAAAAATTGATTGAAGAATGGATGACTCTTTGTCCTTCTTAAAACAAATTCTCTAAATCAAATTTCCAACTCCACTTGAAACTCCTTTAAATAATCCTAACACTAGCTCAAGTCAACAACTAGTCTCTCAGAGAGAAAGCTATTTTTATTGCCAAATGCTAATACAGTATTGTTATTTGTCCTTGAAGGACACTTTTCCTGTTTTTCTACTTCATCTCAAAAACTCACTCTTCTCTGAGCTCTCAAACCGGACACTCCAGCATTTTTGTGAATATTGTGTGTGTTGACTGTGTTCTTGAATTACAAGAACCTTAAAATAGGGCAAAATTTCACCCAGGTTGTAGCTTGACCAAATTCTTTGTGACATTTATTTCTAAAAGATATTCTATCTAAATTTTACTAAATCATTCCTAACAACATGATCAAATGAATAATTTTCATGAAGGAGACCTTGATGCCACACAATATGCATCGGAACCCAAATGTAAGGATTTACAAGGAAAGACAATAGAACCTGGATATCACTTCGTACCCGGTCCGGATGATTGCATTGTCTGCACCTGCGACAAAGGCGCTCCGAAGTGGTGCCAAGCAGTGCTGTGTGCGCCGCCGGAGGTACATTCTTTTCACTTCTATTTGAAGCTTGGGTGTCATTCATTCAACTCTTACGTTTTGCAGAATTGTAAGTCATTCAGAGTCGTTGGGAGCACGTGTTGCGATTTCGAGTGCCTCGACAAGACGCTTTTTGATCGAGAGCACCCTCATTTGGGCCATGATTCTGCTGCCGAGCTTGGATCCCGGCTGGTTGCCTGGACCGTGTCTATCCTAGTTTCGATGTCCCTGATCTATTTCCTTTTCAGAAGGTTAAGGAAGAAGCGACATCTTAGTAAGTTTCTCATCCTCCATCTTTTTATTGAAGAGCGCTGTAATTATTGAACGAATCAAGTTCTAAGGCTGCATGTTTCTCATGATTTTTAAGCGAATGGTGTTTTGTTTTTATAACCGAAACACTGGAGCATTCAATTTTGCATTCTGGAATTTCAGACTGGGAAAATCTGAACATCGATCTGATCAAGAATGACTGTTGAATCTGAATTGAATTGGCCTAAAAAACGTAATAAAACTTTTAAAGATGTAGATTTTAGAAGATGCAAATAGGATGGCGAAGTCTGTCTCGTAATATAATCACCAAGGAAAACTTTTGAGCATGGCAAGCACACAGAGCTGTTCAAGTTGAACCCCTCTCTAGGTCAAAATCCATCGTCATGCAAAACTTTTCTAGATTTTTTTCTCCCTCTTACAGCAGAATTTTCCTGTCGAAGATTTCTCTGCTCTGATGAAGATTCCACCGGGACTTCGTGGGGGCTGTTTATATTCATCTTTTTTTTAATTCAAATGTGGCGAATTTCGGTTAGGTTAGGTTAGGTTTGGTTATGTATTTGGTCTCTCAGACATTGGAAGCGAGTTCGGAACTAAAGATAAATCCCTTGATGCGGCAGCTTTGTTTTCATGGTCTACAAAACCTGTAATTGTTGTGTCTGCAACCTTGCGAAACCTGTTTTAATTTTGTTATTTGTCCTTGAAGGACAGTTTTCCTGTTTTCCTACTTCATCTCAAAAACTCACTCTTCTCTGAGCTCTCAAACCAGACACTCCAGCATTTTTGTGAATATTGTGTGTGTTGACTGTTCTTGAATTACAACAACTTTAAAATAGGGCAAAATTTCACCCAGGTTGTAGCCTGACCAAATTCTTGGTGACATTTATTTCTAAAACATATTCTATTTAAATTTTACTAAATCATTTCTAACAAAATTTGGTAGCAGAGCATGGTTTTCAAGTTTCTTGGATCAAGTTTAAAAACTTTTTCTTGAAACTATCAAAACCTGTGTGAAAAATTTTAATATATATATATATATTTATATTTAACCCAAATCCATATCAAGTGTATATTCCATTCTATCAAAGTTCAATAAAATTTTTTGTATAAATATCTACATATATTTGCAAATTATTCATTTTTTTGAGTGAAGTGAATTCAAATTATTCATCACATGAGTGTGTCTAACAGTGCAAGTGTTTCATACTCAAAATTCACAAGAAAAAAATCACTTTAAAATCAAAATCCAAAAAGGAAAAGCACAAAATGCCAAGAGGAAGACCTAGAGGGTCAAGAATATCAAGAAATACTCCAATCAGAAATATTAACAGACCTCAAAGGTCTTCATCAAGAGCCAGACCATTAATTACTCCTATTCAATGTCCCATTTCACAAAATTTCTCAAGATTAATCAATCCTAGAGGAACTTTAATAGCCAAAATAATCATTGTATCTCAAACTGTCCTAAAAGGAGACACTGCATATCTTGAATCTAACCTTGAACAATAACCTTGAGGTTATCTAACTTTGAACTCTTTGAAGAAATTTTCAAACAATTTTGTTGAATTTCTTTGTCTTAAAATTTCTAAATCTTGATTTTCTCATACAAGAAGGAAGCAAATTGTTAAATCTACTCAAATCCAAAATTGAAACTATTGCTGTTGAAAAATCTGAAAAATTGATTGAAGAATGGATGACCCTTTGTCCTTCTTTACAACAAATTCTATCAATCAAATTTCTAACTCCACTTGAAACTCCTTCAAATAATTCTAACACTAGCTCAAGTCAACAACTAGTCTCTCAGAGAGAAAATATTCTGTCCCCCAAAACTGAAATTATTATTACTCATTCCACCAAAAATATTGATGCTTCTGGATCAACCCATGAATTGTCCTCCTTGGACAACAAAGTTGAGCATAGAAGCATTGAATCATCAAACAGCACAAAAACTCATCAGGAAATTCGCATAAAAATCTTTCTGCTAGATGAAAACTACTTGAAAGCCAAGTGAGAAGATACAGTAAGGGAAAAACCATCTGCGTTAACACTAATGCTGAAGGCTTCATACAAAACTATACACAGAAAGTTATGAAAACCTTTAGAACCTTCAAACTCAAGAGTTGACCATGATTTTGATCAAGTATGGAACAAGTTTAAAAGAATTCATGAGGCTCCTATTGAGGAATTTACTCCAACTTAAAGAAGAGACTTGCTTATCTTACACTTCAAAAATGAAATCCTTACTGAAATCAATGGATTACTCCTAAAGGAAGGAGAAAATGATTATTTGGACTTAGTTAGAATGCTTTTGTTTTTTCAAAAGAATTGGACAACAAAACGCCAAACCTCAGGTTGCCACAACAGCTGCACAGAATTTGCCCCATTCACCAAATTTACAACACTGTTTTTTGTGCAAGCAATGTTTTACAGCTGTGCTTCCTACTGGGAACTTCAAAATGTTCTGATCTTTTTAACTTGAACTTTTTTCTCTTTTATACTGTTTAAAAACTAAAAGGAAAATTAAGCCTTAATTGGAAAAAGTTTGCGACCTCCTTTTGTTTCTTTGAAACAAATTTTGCTTCACAGAAAGAAAGAGGGGGGTTGTTGCCAAAAAAACAGAGTATAATTGTCACCCTAAGGAATCCAAATTTTCAGAAAAACTTGTCCTTGTACATCTCTGTGTGAACTGGGAAAGACCTTGGTTTACACACCCATTTTTCCTGAAAGCCTCCAAGGCTCTATTTTATTGCCAAATCCTAATACTGTTATTTGTCCTAGAAGGACAGTTTTCCTGTGTTCCTACTTCATATTGAAAACTCACTCTTATCTGAGCTCTCAAACCAGACACTCCAGCATTTTTGTGAATATTGATTGTGTGTGTTGACTGTTCTTGAATTACAACAACTTTAAAATAGGGCAAAATTTCACCCAGGTTGTAGCCTGACCAAATTCTTGGTGACATTTATTTTTAAAACATATTCTATTTAAATTTTACTAAATCATTCCTAACATGATCAAATGAATAATTTTCATGAAGGAGACCTGGATGCCACACAATACGCATCGGAACCCAAATGTAAGGATTTACAAGGAAAGACAATAGAACCTGGATATCACTTTGTACCGGGTCCGGATGATTGCATTGTTTGCACCTGCGACAAAGGCGCTCCGAAGTGGTGCCAAGCAGTGCTGTGTGCGCCGCCGGAGGTACATTCTTTTCACTTCTATTTGAACCTTGGGTGTCATTCATTCAACTCTTATGTTTTGCAGAATTGTAAGTCATTCAGAGTCGTTGGGAGCACGTGTTGCGATTTCGAGTGCCTCGACAAGACACTTTTTGATCGAGAGCACCCTCATTTGGGCCATGATTCTGCTGCCGAGCTTGGATCCCGGCTGGTTGCCTGGACCGTGTCTATCCTAGTTTCGATGTCCCTGATTTATTTCCTTTTCAGAAGGTTAAGGAAGAAGCGACATCTTAGTAAGTTTCTCATCCTCCATCTGTTTATTGAAGAGCTCTGTAATTGTTGAACGAATCAAGTTCTAAGGCTGCACGTTTTTCATGATTTTTAGGCGAATGATTTTTTGTTTCCAAATCGGAAACACTGGAGCATTCAGTTTTGCATTCTGGAATTTCAGACTGGGAAAATCTGAACATCGATCTGATCAAGAATGACTGTTTAATTCGAATTGAGTTGGCCTCATCAAAGTAAGAAAACGTTAAAGATTTAGATTTTAGAAGATGCAAATGGGATGGCGGAGTCTGTCTCGTAATATAATCACCAAGGAAAACTTTTTTGAGCATGGCAAGCACACAGAGCTGTTCAAGTTGAACCCCTCTCTAGGTCAAAATCCATCGTCATGCAAAACTTTTCTAGATTTTTTTCTCCCTCTTACAGCAGAATTTTCCTGTCGAAAATTTCTCTGCTCTGATGAAGATTCCGCCGGGACTTTGTGGGGGCTGTTTATATTCATCTTTTTTTAAATTCCAATGTGGCGAATTTAGGTTAGGTTAGGTTTGGTTATGTATGTGGTCTCTCAGACATTGGAAGCGAGTTCGGAACTAAAGATAAATCCCTTGATGCGGCAGCTTTGTTTTCATGGTCTACAAAACCTGTAATTGTTGTGTCTGCAACCTTGCGAAACCTGTTTTAATTTGAGTCTGAACAACAGGTGTTCTCCGTCGAGTTTTCTTGGATCCCGAAAATCCGGGTGAAGCTAATCCGGCGTTCTCCAACCAACAACCCGCATTCCCCTACTTGGAACCCTACAGCTACGGAATGGAGCGTCCCACGTTTCCCGTCCCCCCGCCAGCATTTTCCGCCGCCGTTGCTGACAGTCCGCGTAGCATGACTGCTCGGTTTTGTCCCGTTTGGAAACCGGACGACCTTCCTCCTCCGTACTCTGAAGTAGTTGGCGACGAATGTCTAACTCCTGCGATTCCAAACATCAACGACAACGAAAATGGAAGAGAAGACGGTCCTGTTGAGGAAACGGAGCGTGGTGGGAATACCGACGAGTTGGAACGCGACCGTGGGGATCCGGGTGATGAAGTGATTGTGGAGGCGAGGAATACAGCGATGGAGGACAGAGGCAGTTTTGAGCTTGGGTCTGTGTCTAGTTGCACTTCTGCGTCCACTGCTGGCGACGAGGTTCATTTGAGTTCGTAAGGCGAAAAATGAAAAGGACGTGATTAATTCATCGAGTGTCCGAAGATTAACTTCTTTGTCTTTCGCGAGACATCACGTTCCATTTAGATGTAAATGGGTGTCGTAAGTTCCGTGCGCAACTCTTGATGATCATCACACAGTTGCCTGAAAAGTTTTGCACGATTTCGCTTCTTCTTACGGTATCCCGCTCTAACTCGTCAAGTTGAAGCATTCCATGTGCGCAAATTTTTGCACTTCTCTAATTTTTAAACTTGAAGACATCACTATTTACCTTAAATACCACATTGCAAAGCAGCGATGGTTTGGGAGCATTGTTGAAGAAGAATTTGGCTGACTTTTTGTGACCGTTTGGTGGCACTGAGACCTTTCAGGAAATCATGAAACATAGTCAATTTCAAAGTTTTGTATGAAGGAAGCTGTAATAACAGTGCACGTTATTGCCCTGTGAACAATTGTTCTTCTCCTATCATCCATATTGGTAAAATTGGATGATTGGTTTGATAGAATCAAAGGTATATACCGTAAGGCATAAAATTATCCAATAATGTTGAATGAAATGCCTATACTTCATTTTCTGGAAACTAAGCGGAAGAAATTTTATAAAATTGAACTGCGCGTGTGAATGATACACTCCTCAGGGGTGAGGTTTTAATTATTCTTTCGTGTGTGATTTTTCAATTCATCTGCGAAAGGTTTGAGAAGATAATCTTCGGATGCTCATTTTATGATTGAAGAGTTCTTTTAATCAACGGAATGGTGTTCTTATGCGCAGAGGTTTTTGCTCTAAAAAATCTGTTCGCTGTTGTGCTTGTGATAGACTTACCAAATTTTTTCCGCTTCCGGGATGCTTTTATTGTTGCAGTATTTATCGTTTTATTTGACTCGGATTAGGTAAGGTTTCTTTTTTAAGCTTTTCCCGTGAAATAAAAAAACCACTGGAAAGCGTGTCTTCGACTTCACAAGATAGTCAAAAGTGTTTTGCGTTTTTATTTTGATCTTATGAAAATCTTGATGCATTTCTTATATTTCATTTCAGGCGATGTACGCAGAATTGATCTCTCGTCGAATGTAGATTCGATCATAATGACTGGGGGAAAAACTCGAAAGATTTTGACCTTGGTGTTCGTGTTGCGCGAAGACGAAGTGCTTTTGGGCTACAAAAAACGAGGTTTTGGGGTCGATCGCTGGAATGGCTTTGGTGGTAAGGTGCATGTTGGAGGAGAATCTGTTGTCGATGGTGCGAAGAGGTGAATTTTAAAGATCGATCGTATCTTTTCGCTCACACTTCAGTAATTTTTCTACATTTAATCTTTTTTTTTTTTACAAAACCTTTGTAATATATCCTCCGGAGTATGTATAATTTTAACGTCATGAAGTTACTTCTTTAATCTCGGGTAAATTGGACTAAACGAACCCAACATGTATCAAGACCTTAAGAAAACGTTCGAAATTTAAAACGCATCTGTTTCAGACTTTTCGCCTAAATCTCCCACGTAACGTAAGGAGACCCAATGAAAGTCGATCGACAGCCGTGTGTTGTTAACGAAAATCTCCGTATCTGATCTAGAATCTAGACTGATCTCTCCTGGATTTAACGGAAAAGATTATTTTCACGTGTACGAATCTAAGTCAACATCATCAATGTCCACTTCTTTTTAATTTAACCCGAGAATCAAGTAATGAACTTCGAGGCGAGTCAATTTACAATTCAACGGATTTTTACTGGTTTTTGGCGTACTAACTGTACGGTATATTCAGGACTAGTTTCACTTTTTTCTAAAATGAAATGGCAAGTTCTTTTATTTGCAGCCATAAGAAGGTCACATTTTTAATTTCTTTCTTTCTAGGGAGCTGTTGGAGGAAAGTGGACTTGAAGCAGAGAATCTCAGTTACGTTGGACGAATAGAATTTGAGTTTGTGGGAGATGATTCTCTTCATGATGTGTACGTGTTCATCACCCATGATTTTACTGGAAACCCAGTAGAAACGGAAGGTGATATACCAAGTTTTCGATGTAGAAAAAATTTATATTCTTCTTCACGGAATTTAAACGAAATTATGTTCTTTTCAAACAGAAATGCTTCCGAAGTGGTACAAAAAAAGTGAGATTCCGTATGACAAGATGTGGATGGACGATCAAAAATGGATACCAATAATGTTGAAGAATGAGAAGTTCGTGGGACATTTCTATTTCAGTCAGGATCACAGTGAAATCGTTCGTGAGGAGTTGGATATGGTCACAACTTTACCGGAAATACCCGACACGCTCCGTTAACCATTACGATTGATAGTTGTTACGATTGACTCTATGTTCACAAATCATGGAAAAATTTTTCATGGAAATGATGGTCGTTGACCAATGAAATGAGGCGTGTTCGAAATTCGTTACGGTGAAAAATTGGACGGTGGACGAAAATCTCTGGTGGTTTTCCAAGTGTTTTGGATCAGGTTCGAAATGAAAAATAAAAAATGAAATCATGCATGCGCGGAATTTATTTTCCGTGACCGAACAATTCAGTGCGTCCCAGAACAGCACACGCATGAAAGAGTGCGTTGCCCAAACATCGTGCGCCCGATTTTGCTTTTTTCTTCTTGTGCCTGCAAAATTTAAGAGGATCATGATTGTAATGATGTGCTTGTTTCGTTTTCAGGCTTGTCCGGGAATAAAATTCCCGCTCGTAAAGAGCACATCGAAGTTTCAGAGAGGAGAGCTTTCGAAGCTCCCTTTCGAGTAGCCCAGTCTTCGAGCGTTTTACCTAATTTTTTACGCGTCCCACGCTCATTGTGTCCGAAATCGAGAGGTTCGGATTTGTGATCGGTGTCAAACATGGCTCACTTCTAAACTTGCTCGCCATCATGCTTGCCTCATCGTTGTTCTCGTCTCCGGACGGAGATAACTTCCGCTTCATTTCCTCTCCATGCAACACGACCCCGTCGTGGACATGGAGCGCACTTCCAAGTCAAACCCTGGCCCAAAATCCTCCACTTCCACCACCAAGTCCCTAGGCAGCAATTCCCAACAAGAGCGGCAGAAAGGTTTGTGCTGCATACATTTTTTACATTTAATATTATTCCTCTTAAATCATTAATAGCTCTAGTATAAATGTTGTCATGTTAGCGGTTATGTTAGATCAACATTCTTCAAATTGACCACAAAAAGTCGATCGACAGAATCAGAGGTATATTATTTTATGTCGCATTCCTTTTCATTTGAAGAGCAAAATCAAGTTATTTTTTTACTTGTGTCTTTTGAAGTTAATGCTCTTGATATACGGTCTGACGCTCGTAAAATGGAGATTCTAAATGGCTGTTTCAACTTGAGTGGATCTTTTAAAATGAGGCCAATTCGATTTTATTTGTTATGTGTTGCTTCCGATTTTCTAAACGGTTCGTGTGTTACACAGCATTTTTTCCCTATTTTTTCGTAAAGAGTAAACTTTCTGAAGGACTCCCAGTAAAATTTGCTTGGCAGAATTGTTTCTTGTGACTTGGAAGAAAACTACGTTCGATCTTCCTTAGTGAACAAGACTTCCTCGACCGTCAGTTTATTTTTTCGGCTGCCTTCGAGGTTACATCCGTTTTTCAATTCACTGAAAAGTCAAGGCGGTAAGTGTGGAAATTGAAAGGTCTTCGTCAACTTTCATATTTCAGATCCCCAGCAGTTCGGGCGAAACCCCAGGAAGAACAAGCCAAATCCGCAGAAGTATCAGTCATGTCACGATAAGCGTCCACAAACCAGAGGATATACCTGCAACACGGAAACGTATCGAGGAAAAGTGAGTTGGCCTTCAGAAATAAAAAAAAAGAATCCTTTGGTTGCTGAGCTTCTAATTGTGGAATTTTTTTTATATTTTCCAATCAGACGGCGTATGAAGCGAGTTCAGGTTACAGCGCCTTCTGCGACGAGAAGAAACAGAAGAAGGTGAACTTGAACCACTTGCTGAATTTCACCTACCAAGCCGCAGCCCAGACTTCAAGCACGAGCATTTCCCATGGAAGGCGCCATCAGCATAAGACCTACTTACCGCGATACAATAAGGAATTGTATCTTCAAGCCACGTGTCAATTCATCGTCAAACAGACCGGCGATTACACCATACACTCCGTCGATCCGGATCATCCCGTTGAATGGGATTTAATCGAACAAGTGGTGAGTTGAAAACAGGCATATATTCTTGTACGTGTATGCTGTTATTTTTGCAAAGGATATGCAAACGTATATTTCGGAGAATTAAGCGAATGACCTTTCAGGAAATCTCCAATCATATGAACGTATGAAAGAAAACTACTACATTACGCAATACTGTATTAACCTGAGGTTTTGCTTAATTTTTGAAACGGTTTAAAGCCGTCACGCAAATTCAAATGTCACCAAGATCTGCGATTCCCGATTTTCATCTTTCATAGGATTAAAGTTTTAATTTTTAGGGTGCTTGAAAAAATGGAGAGCTTAAGATGCGTAAAAATTCTGGTACTCTTCCAAGTGAATGTCATAAATTTGCTTTCTTGAAATTCGGGAAGGTGTTGCCTAGCCCCTAGAAAACCAAGATTACTAGCCAGAGTGAAAAATAACTTGATCAAACTTCATTATATCGTGCTGAACCAAACTTGAGATAACGTGACAGTAATCAACTCAATTTAGAATTTTTTAAAACGACTCCTGGGTTGTTGAAAAAAAAATTAGGAAGTAGCGGATATCGTGTGTTGAAAGACGAAGAACCAATAGTTTATGAAAGTTGAACCCTGAGAAGTTCAGATTACAACTTGATACCAGTTTCCGCCATCTGCTAACTGCCAAATTTTTATTGCACTTCGTGTTGGAATAGTTTACGAAATTTGGAAAGAAGAAAGAAAAGATTTGAAAGCGTTGAAGTATGTTTATTCATTGCTTCAGATAAAATCAGTTATTCGGGAGTTATGAGCATTTCTGTGAATCTCTGTGTCTTGCTATTTTTATTTTCTGCAGAGGTTGAACAGCCCTCAGGTGCCCAGCTGCCCGATATGCCTCTATCCGCCAACGGCAGGAAAGATCGCCAAGTGCGGCCACGTGTTTTGCTATTCTTGCATCCTTCACTATTTGGCGTTGTCTGACAAACCATGGCGCAAGTGTCCCATCTGCTACGACCCAGTGGACCGTAACACGCTCCGCAGCCTGACCGCCGTCGGCTTGAAGGAGTACAATGTCGGCGATGAAATTTGCCTCCGTCTCTTGCGTCGCGAGAAAAATTCCGTCAATATTCATCCAGTCGAAAACTACGGCGGAGAAACTGATGCGCCTTGGACAATTGAGACAGATGCGCCGAGACAGATGTATGCGAAAGTGCTGACTGCTTCCCCGGAACAGGTACTGTACTTTTAATAAGCTATGGGTTGTTTCAAGTTCAGAATTCGAGGAATGTTACAAAATCTATGAATAAGAAGAGCTTAGAAGTTCAGCAGCTCCTGAGTGGTATACACAAAAAGTTCTTCTTTAGAGACGTTGGCAAAGTACTCGAGTACCACGCGCACCTTTTCACTGAAAATTGACAGGAAAGAAGGGGCGTTCATAGGCGGGGCATTAAAAAAAAGTTTTAGAAGTTTAGATATGCATTAAATTTGATCCCAATGGGAAATCTTGGACCAATTTCAACAGAATGAATTACTGTAGTTGCAAATAAGTTGAATTCAGGATCATTTAATGTCTGAATTCAATTTGGGTGTTCTTATTTTTGAGATATGGCAGTTCTCGAGTAATTAAAAAGGGGACCTATGCCTCACTCAAAGATACAACTTGATGAAAAATATTGGGCGCGTCTTACTCGAGTAAATCCGGTATATAATACAGAACTGTCAGGAGGATAATGAACGACAATGTTCTCCAATGGTGTTTTTTGAGGGCTGACTTCAATCCCAAATGCCAACAACAAAATTTCACCATAGGAAAGGTCTCAACACAGAAGGAAATCAGAGGAAAAAATAACATGCAAATAACCAGTTTTCCGCGCGCAAGTGCCTCAGCGTATATCAGATTTAAATCACAACATATATGTGAAAAATAGAGATAAAGTAATTCCGACATTACTTAGAGACACCTTGTTCATTTCTCTAAAAATCCGTCTCCTGGATATGTAGATTAAAATACTGAGATAAATGAATAAATACAGTCTTGGCCATGTAACTTTCAGCAAGCAACCAAGAGAAGAGGCCATCTATTTAATTATCTCTCTAAGGTGGACAGAATTGTATTTAATCTCAAGCAACAATTATCCTTCGCAAAAATTAAATCGGACGTCATTAGTAAATTTTGTTTCTTCTTCGTTGGTTGAATGCAGGTGTTGGAAGGTATTGTATTGCCGGAGCAGGACGAACTGATGAAACAAATGGAGGACAATAAGGATGAGCCAGAAAAATGTTTCATTGAGGAAGCGTTGCAGTTGGTTGAGAAACGAATCGAAGGATTGATTGCGGAGAAGAATATCTTCCTACCGCTATTGAAGGAGAATACTCGCAAATCAAGTTCGGAACAAGCTGAAGTTTGGGAATCCATAGTCGTATCTCCAGAGGTAATTTAAATCGATTTATGACATTATTTTTGGCTTGCTTTGACGTTTCCCGCGGTATTTTTGTATTGATGCAGTTACGCGTACCCGTTTTTTTTTTAATCATTCATACAACACGATTTACGATATTCCTCTTCCAGCATGTTGAGTGATAAATTCGAAAAAAATCGAAAATTTAACTATTTTGTATCGCAGCGAGGGATTTTATGATTCTTTAATTAAGCTTTTATCACCTGAATTTCGGTAGTCTGGGATGTCTGAGATACGTCAAGTTATGCCAGTCAGGTTATATGAAAAAGGGAGCTCAATTCAGGCGAGATACCCGCCCGTTAGAATGGTTTTGGTTGTATTGAATTTAAAAAAAGAGAAGTGATTTATGCGACACCTGTCTGACGGTGAAGAAAGTAAGGTCATTAATCGAAAGAACGCTTCAACGATAATGGTGTGATGTGAAACTTTCATCCGATAGCAGGTGGTATCATTCTAAGTTTCTAACCTTCTAATTTTTTAAGCTTTATAATCTGTGCAAGGTTATTCCATGACTTCTCGTTTTTTGTCTGAGCTCGTTAATTTAGTAATTCACCGGCGATGCCAGGTCCCGTAAAGTCGTCAAGATTTGTCAACTTGAATTTCCGTTTAACTTTCAAACTGCATTTTCTTACTCTTTTGCCTCAAGGTTGAAACTGTGGTTTACTCATCTGCCTTTGATGAAACGCTGGAGGAAGATGGTGCGAATAGGCAGAGGAATATCAGTGAGAGCAGTGCTGGGCTGGATTCTAACCCAGATTCAACCGTGACTGTTGATGATATCGAAGCGCCAACGCCAAGAAAGGATGATAAAATCTGTGCGCAGAGCGGTGCTCGTTCCAAGATTCCGAAAACGACCCACTACTTCTATCAATGTGAGTTGATCTTGTTTTCCATCTTAAATTAATTGTTTGACTTAAATTAATTACTAGGTCCTCTAAAAATTGAGTAATGTGCTAACTTATATTTGAGGAAGCAATGCGCATTTTGAATGTTCCATATCCTCTTTTAGAAAACCAGTAAGCTTTCAAACTAAGGAAGTTCAGAAATATGAAATTCATTTTTAAATGAGGGATTCAACACTCATTGAAGGACTAGGGTTAAGGCCTATCGTCAGAGTTCGCCAAACTGACTCGTTAATCTCGTAGCTTTTCTTGCAGTTTTTTTCAAGTATCATCAGGAAATCTTCAATTGCCAAATGCACTCTTCCTATTTCATTCGAATTTATTTTTCTCCGAGGCGTTAATTACAATATGGATCATTCAACCCTTTAAAAATTCAAATTCGATTACGAATTCCTGGGATGTTCAAGAATTCATCATGCATTGATTTCGAAGTCTTTTAAGCTCGAGTTGGTCTTGTGAACAAGGAGGAAGTATTTCCACAAAAAAAACCTTTTAAAGTTGCGTTAGTTGAGACGATTTGTTTCCCATATTCTCTTGGGATGCTATGCGAAATTTACGAATTAACGTGATTTTCTCTGTCCATCCCAACTAGTTTTTGTTTCGAACTCATGAACTTCATATTCCAGGTGCCGATGGTCAGAACGTGTACATGCATTCGGTTAATATCCAAATGCTCATTGAAGAATACGGCTCTTTGGAGAACTGCCCGCCGGTCATAAAAGTAAAAATCGTAGAACTCGAACCAGCAACCATGCACTCTGATCTACGAGCAAAACTTCGCTATCTGCAACACCTGCCCATTTCCGCCCAATTTCAAATCGCGGAAGTGAAGCTGGGAAGGCTTGTTAGTCGGGAAACGTTTGACTTGTTCCGAGAAAAGTTGTACGAACGCGAAAAGCGTCGTGCGAAGCGGGCGAGGAGTGAGCGCCTGCGGGAGCAACGTATTCGAAATCAAGAGGCGCAGAGTTACGAGAGGAGCACTGGGTTCACGTACTCTATGCACGAGTCCTTCTCCGAGCCGCTTTTGCCGCCGACCAATTTTGACGAGGACTTCGCGCCGCTGCCGTCTGCCGAGTCGCCCGAGAAGTTCATGGGGCGGCAGGCCGAAGCAGCCGCCCCTGATGGACTCTCATTCGCTGCTGTGAGTCGATACAACTTTGAAATACAGAACTATGATTCTGGCTACAGTATTTTTAGCCTGAGTCGTCGTATAATATGCCTTCACCGACTTGTCTACATTCGTTTCCCAGTAATCCTTTCGGAAGCTTTCAATAGAAAACGACTGTCTTCAATGGCGATCTAGTGACAGACGTCGATGTATTGCCTTTAACGTCTTCGAGAATGAACCATTGTATTTACGCAGCTGAAGCGCGAAGGTTCTAAGAATATTCTGTTCTGATTGAAATTTTATCGACAGTATCGTTTTTTATTTATTTATTTTTTCAAGATGTTGAAAGAAGGTAAGAAACAGCCTACGACTAATGTTCCGACACTGGAAACGCCGAAGCCAAGTGGCATTCTGACTCTGCGCCGACGTCCAGTCACCGGCTCTGACGAGGATGATGTAGACATGCCGGCGCCTCTGTACAGAGAGTCCTTGGGAGACGCCATTGCAATTGCCATGGAGCGAGCGAATTTCCTGAAGAAACCTGGTACGATTTTTTTTCTTGTGGAAATGAATTATAATATTGGGATCGTGGGCATTTAAATTGGAACATTTCAAGCTCTTCGTCAAAAGCTGTTGAATCAACAAACCAATTAATTTTTCATATGATGCATAATCATAATCTTCCTAATCTTGGAGATTATGAAGTTTAATTGGTACTTGATTCGGTTTCAAATGAAGAATGCATTTTTTCAAAAATTTGCATATCTCATTCAGTCACAGTCAAGACTTTTTTGCCTTGGTCGCTATTAAATATTCTACGATTCCGTTGAGTTGAGTTATGTTTGGTTGAGGAATCCTGATCTCTAATTCAAAAATGTCTTTTAAGACAAATGAGAGGATGTATTTTTCAAAATATGTTCTGTGCTGCTTCCGCGGACGATTTTTGGTGCTTTGTCGGATTCTCGAGAAATTTTCATTCCATTTTCCATGATTTCAACTTTTTTCTGCTCTACAGTCGACGAGAAAGCTGATGGTCGAAAGGCAGCAGAAGAAGGGAAGTCGAAGAAGAAGAAAAACAACAAAGGCGTGATGCTGTTTCAAACCAGCATGGCGAGAGGTTCTGGAAAGTAGTTTATGCAGTTACACGAAAATGGATGTCACGCGTACTGAACAACAATAGAAAAGAAGGAAAAAATCCCGAAAGAGACACGAAAATCGGGATGTGTGTACGAGTATGTAAGGAATGGTTCAACGGGAAATAACCGAAGCTTGAGGAAGGAAGAAAAAAAAAAGGAAGAAACGAAGACTTGGGTTGCGTGCTTGCTTCTTGTCTGTCCATCATTTGTTTGTGGCTCAACCTGGGATTACAATCCCGAACGCGCGTGTGCTTAGCGATCGATGTCGAAAACGCAAAGAACATCCTGCGGTTGCTTCGGGAAAATTGTTTTTTACACGGGTTGGGGATCGCCTGTACTTGTTTTGGTGGCATTTTTCTTGCTAGGATTAATAGCTCTTTTCCACCATTACGACCTCTCTTATATTTTTGATTTATTTTTAATGAGTATAACTGTGATAGGAACAAAATTACCTCGTCCTGTGCGATATTCATCAGTATCCCTCCATTCCTCTAGGATTTTAAAATTCGAACTTCAATCTCTGAATGAACTCGGCGCAGCAAAATTGAAAGGGGCTGGTCGGAAGTTCTTGATTAAATTTTTTATGCGAGCATGATCACGTTAGGCATGCTTTTCACGTAAATGTGCTTATTTCTTCGGCGTCTGAAAAGCGCGGAGAAAAAAGCTTGAAATAACTGGTAATGGAAATTAGGAAAACTTGTTTGAGGAAGGAACATTTTTCATGTTTCATCGAGTTTCTATGACCTCAATGCTCTCACCGTAGTCCATGAAAATTATTTCATAAAGCAAATTTGTATCTAAACCTGCGTAGTTTATTCTGGAAAAAATTTCTTTATTTCTTGCTTCTCTTGTGAGAATTAGTTAAGTTTCAATTTACTCTCGAGAGGTCGTCTTAGCGGATAAGAAACAAGTTTTAATCCTCCTATCTGACTTAGTCCCTCCAGTGTGGGAGGTGAAACCGTGGTGACGCGTTTTATGACGGGGTTGTTGGTTGCTTTTTATGCCGCGACTGAGGCTTCCGATGGATTTTGCGGGCCTTGGGGAAGCCGAACATGCTCATTTTTGCTCCTCGGCATGATGATTGGTTCCGGTTGGTAGTTAGCTATTTTTCCGTTCCGGTTTTTGAGTTTCTCTGGACCCCTTGCGGTATGGTGTATTACTATCGCGGTGGAAGAGAAAGAGAGAAAAAAAAGAGAAAATGATGAGAGCGTTGATTTATATGGGCTTTTATTATTTTCATACATTGACTCGTCATTATTTCGTCAAAGAGTGCGAATTTAAATGCTGACTGGCATTTTTGTCTTCTCGCAGGATCAGTTGTGTTCGCATTTTTATTTTTTGTGGCAAAATGGCGGACGAAGACCAGATTCTCAAGGTAAGAATTGAAGAGCTTCTCACTGCGACGAATTCTTGCGTGGGGTCGATTTTTAAATTCTTGGAACAGTACTTCCAGCCAATGTAGATCAAAGTATTCAAAATATCGCTGTCAAAAGTTGTCTTTGTTTCCTATCCTCGATATTTTCTTTGGATTTCCAACCACCCAGCTTTACTAGCATAGTTTAATTAAATAAATAAAACAATGCTTCACCTATCACCCCTTCAAACCATGCATAGCTTCTGAATTGATAATCTTCAAGATTTTCTAGAGTTAATTAGTGCAATCAACTATTAAAAATTAGTGTAAATCTTTCCCAGGGAATGCCACTAAAAATAATTTAGCATTGGTTTTTAACTCTTATTGATTGTTGAGGATTCGCGATTGGAAGTTTGATAAAAAAAAATTCCTGGGTGAGGAGACCTGAAGAATGCGTTCGAATAGCCGGAGAATGGAATAAAAATGCTCTTAAAGAATCGATTTGAAATGCAAGTTTTGAATATTTCTTGGAGCATTTTCTTCTAGACAGCTCTGAGATAGACGCCCCTTGATATGGCATGGGTTTCGAAATTTCTTGAAATGGTTCAAAATGCTCATCGCTGTAGAATGTACGAAGTTTTCTTGCGCTTTTTCTTATGGATAGATTTTTATTCCTGGATAATGGTTCATTCGCAGAGCAAGATCAATTATTTTTGCCGCGAGAAATATTTCCGAGCGATGCAGCAGGCTGCTGTGCTGGGAATGAAAAAGTTTTCAGGAGATCCCGTATTCAAGTTCTACTATGGATTGTCTTTGATTTTCGAAGGGAGGATACAGGAAGGGATTCGTGAAATGGACAGATTTCAAGTGAGTGAAACTGTTTTCTTGTGAAAAAATGAGATGGAAGAACATTAAGCTCTGGTGAACCACACGAAGCACTTGTTGATTGGGCTAAGAAAAAAAATTGCAAATGCCAAAGACAAATTTTGTTTCCATTCGCTTCCCGGAATCCGATAATTTTTGAAAAAGTTTAAAGCAGTTAATTCAATGTGATCGAATAATTGACCCAGGGCGATGCAGAAATTGGGATTGGAACAATACTTGCATTAATACATGCACACAAGAAGTGCTTGACCGTGGACAGGGAAGCTGTTGCACAGTTGGAAGCTAAACTGAAGGATGACCGCCGGAAAGCTAGCGATAAAGTGAGTTTTTTCTGCAAAATCGTTACCTTCATTTTTATGATTTATCCATTGCTGAAGCCGAGGCAACATTTTCGAACGACCTCCTGTGTTACTTGAACCCTGGTCAATATTAATGAATTAATTCGGAATAGGGGAAAGAAAGAAGAATTACAGGAAATTGTGATTGATGGTATTCTGGGACTTGAATTGCTTCTTGAATGAGTTGACAAGATTTTGAACTTGTAGGCATGGGTTCATTTGCCCAATTAGTCTTTCACTTCCTTTCAAAATGCATACCATTTTTATTGCTTTTTCTTTTTTCTGTATCAACAATATGATAGCCAAAAGGCCTCCAGAAAGGCATATTTTTCCTATGTGAACAATATGATAGCCAAAAAGCCTCCAGAAAATTCGAGTTATGGAGGTTTGAAGGGGAAATCCTTTTAGTTAGGGATATTTTTTATGCATTTTCCTAGGAGAATTCAGACAGGGACTTGAAAAAAAAAATCGACGCTTCTTCGACTTATTCAACTTATTGAGGTTCAACTGTATAAAGAGTGGAAAGCTGTGGACCTCAGTTAATTTCAATTTCGTACCATGTATTTAGGCGTTGTATTTTGCCGGGGTATTTCTAACTCACGCCGGACGCCACGACAAAGCTAGAGAATACATAGATCGGATGTTGAAACTCAATCCTTCGTCGAGAGACGGGCTCATTCTGAAGGGCTGGATCGAATTACTGGGTGGAAGAGACAACAAGTCGGAACAGTCCGCATTGGATTTCTTCGAAGCGGTTCCGAAGTAAGCCCTGATTTTTTGCATACAATATTTTTTAAAGGGAAGCATTCCTGTATTATTATTTTTTTTTCGTAGTGTTCAGCGAGATGTGGACGCCATGATGGGGATAGCAAAGTTCTTCGAATTTTGTCACCAGTTCGACAAGGCAGTCGAGTTCCTCAATCAAGTCGTTGCAGTTTATACGTCGTTTCTGCCTCCTTTGATAGAGAAAATGAAGCTAGCCTTGGCAGTGCTGGACTGGGACCAAGCTCGAGATATGGCCAACCGGTGAATTGGACTATTGTGAAAATTGCGAGAAGGTAGAATTTCAATCAGTTGATTTTCAGAGCCCAGTTGTTGGACGAATCTTGCTTGGAGGCCAGACGCGTGAAGGTGCTTTACATTCTCTGTCAAGAAGGCGAATATGAGAATGGAGCTTTGGCTATACGAAACTTTTTCCGAGACATGGAACGGCTTGAGCCGAAGAACTCGCCCATGTTTCTGATGAACTCCCAGCTTTTTTCTCGCTTGGTGAGCAGTTCGTTGCGCTCCATTGGAAAATGTAATAATTTTAAGGCCATGAATCCAATTCTAGTGTGGAAGACACATGGAGATACTGGAGGAAACTTACAAATTCGCCGAGAGAGCTGCGCAACTTGATCCCAATTGCTCCGAGTACTTGGTGGAGCTCGGAAATCAGTGCTTACTTCAGAACAAGGTTCCTCAAGCAATGAAGTACTTCAAAACGGCTTCACAATTGGACGAATCGTCCATAGAAGCTTTGACTGGCAAGTGAAGATGTTTATTTGTAAAACTCTGTTTTTTAAACATTTTTGTGCGATTCTTTAAAATTTTCTTCTGTCCAAATGCTCTTTTTCACATGCTCTTTTATCAGAAGAAAATTCACCCTTCGATGAGTTGGAAGTCACGAAGTAAATGAGAAATATGTGGACGAAACACAGTAACTTTTATGAAATAATATTTAGCCTGAGTTAAATTTTTTTTCTATTCTAAGAAAGCATGAGGAAGGTGGACCGATTTTACGATATAGGAAATTTAAACGCAAGGACTTCTATCATTTTTGTCTGACAAAATATCCAAGAACGTTTTTGCTGTTCCAGGAGTCCTTGCTTGTCAGCTGATGAACGGTGACTTGTCAGAAGCAGAGCAGCAATTGGAGTTCCAGAAAGAAATCAGTCGAGCCGGAGGATCAGCACCAGAAATTTTATATCTCTCAGCCCTGTTGAACAGACTGAAAAACCGTCATTCGGACGAAAGCCTGGGTATATTTTCATTTCTTGCATATATGTACCTACATTGAGAATTCTTAAACGGAAACTTGATCATTTCCCAAACCGGTGCGACCAAGTACAGCTCAAATACAAAACACGTTTGTTGAAAAAAGGTTTAAAATTATGAATGATGCTGCGTAGTTGAGTTAGTTGCCTGAAAAGCATTTCTGGAGAAGGTATTTGTGATCGAATGAAAGGTAATTATTTAACGTCAATCATTCACTGTTACTCCAGTATGAATTTTTTTCTAAGTCTTGGTTTATTCTTACATTGACTGGCCCATGCGCTATTTTTTAATTTTTATTTTGGTTATTCCTGACGTTTTCATTGCTATACATTTCTGACCTTTTTTATTTTATTTTTTCTTCTCACAGGTCTTCTGAAAGATGCGGTAGAAAATCATTTTCGATCATTCAGAAGCCTTCCTTTTGGAATTGAATACCTGCATAGTCTGAATCCAGACTTCTTGCTTCAAATCGTGAAAGAATCAATGCTTTATGCACCGAATACGGTACAGTATTAAAACAGTTGATTCTCAGGTTTTTAATTTTATTTTTCTGACTGTGTGCATTTTATTATAGCCGAGTCCATCTGGTCAAATGCCGCCGATGTCATTGAAATTTTGCCACGTCGTGCTGGAGTCGATCGCTCGGGCATGTCCTGCATTGAGAGATGGTGTGTTTCTGTTTGCAAAAACAAGATACTTGCTCGGAGAGACGAAGTCTGCACAAGGGAGTTTGCAGCAAATTCTTGACAAAATTGGTGAGGAAAATCTCAAATTTAATACGCGAAGTATAAACTCAAGTAGCGAACAATCTGTGTCAGCAATTCGTATTCGACCTGTTCGTTAGATCTTAAATGTTGTTCTACTCGGTGTTTGGTCGTAAAATGAATTGTACTGGTAATTCCTGCTGCCCTATTGAAATAAGCGCGTTCCTCAAGTATTAGGATCCGTAATTTAATTGATCATCTACCGTATTTCTGACACAGTTCTTTTCCGAAAATTATTTTCGCTTGCGGAAATGTGATGTTGTCAAGCATGGCGTATTAACGGCGCATACATTATTTAGTGACGACATTATTAAATTTGCCTTTCCAGATCCGAGTTTCAGTGAGGCCCATTTGCTCATGGCTGAGATCCAGATGGCTCAAGGACAGTATCAGCAAGCAAAGCAGAGCTTGGAAGTTGGTCTCAGTTATAATTTCAAGGTAGACTTTCCATTTTAAAAACATTATTGTGTTTGACTAACATCGCATTTTCTTATTCGCCCAGGTTAGAGATCATCCAATTTATCACCTCATCAAGGCGAGGCTGGAAAAAAGACAGGATAACTACGAAGAAGCTATTGAATCATTGCAGTTGGCCATGACTTTACCGGTTTTCAAAAGTGAGTGGCTTTGTTGAAGAAGAAACGACATCGCACTTGAATCATCTCCAAATAATGAGCAGATGAGGTTATCAATTTCCTATCGTTTATAATTTTTAAGTCCGAAATTCTCCCACGCTGGTCAGCTTTGCATTGTCATCACATAGATGTCGCTTGAGTAGTAAAGCTTTTCCCCAGCCCTAATTTAGGCCTTACGTTCAAAGTGTTATTCACGAGCGTCCTGAAGTCCGACGTGTATCACTACAAGAGATTATATTGCAATGCGTATGTGTTATTTTCCCAGAAAGCAATTTACTGCAGACTTGGGGAAAGTAGGTCATCCCGCTGAGAGCGTCTGTTTCTTGTCTTCCCAGAGTCTAGCAAAGCCGCGACCGCAGCGCAGCAGAAAGTAACCCACGCGGGGCTCGGGATGACCGGCAATGAACTCACGAACCCTGATCGTGCAGCCATTTACGTAGAGCTCGCAGATTCTCTGCGCCTTATGAAGAAAACAAATGAAGCAGCGAAGATCATGGAAGAAGCTCGACATGAATTCATGGTGCGTACGTGTGTGTTTCCCACTGGCTTAGCTGGAAATTGACTTTAAGCCTTCCTCTGAATCAAGAGGCTAAGCCTTTAACCCTTATTTACCTACAGTATTTATTCGAAAATATAAGCATGTTTTTTTCAATTTGAAATGCTCGATAACGAGGGGGATGCCTATACAGTTGTTTTGTAAATATGCGCAACCCTTTTTCACAGAAGCAATCAAAATAATTGGACATTCTTTACTTCGTATTCAAAAATAATATCTGTTACTATGTCACACTGCTTATTATCTATTCTTAGTAAAATATAGTATGGTATATTTGAACGTGAGTAAGGTGATGTTTATATTCGCCTATTATTGGAATTTTGATTTTTGATGTGAAAAATCTAGTGAGGTGTTTGTACTGTAATCGCGTAAATGTAGTACAGTGTGATTCATTGCTTTTTTTTTCATTGTCGAAATTTTCACTTTAGTGCAATGATTATTTGTTTAAAATCCTGGAACTTTGAGAGTAACCTCGTCCGTCGGAAAAGGGGGAAGAGTTGACCTCGTTTTTCGGATTCTCTGCAGTCTCTATTATTTACGCTGCCGCACTCCTTATTTCGTAGGGCACGCCAGAGGAAATGCGAGTGACCGTTTCCAACGCAGATATGTTTCTGTCTCGTGGGGATGTGGACGGGGCGTTGTCTATTCTGAAGAACATAGGCCCAGAACAGGCATATTATCTGCAAGCGCGAGAGAAAATGGCCAAGATTTATTTGGATTACCGGAAAGACCCGCGGATGTATGCTGCGTGTTACAAGTGAGTCAGTGTTCCTTTTGATGTCGTCCGTGGTTGAGCGGGGGTGTGTATTACCTTTGTGGAAAATTCATCTTTAAATCGTAAAATTTTTGTAGTTATGTATAATTGTAGAGAAAGTGATGAATTGAGGACTAGTTTGACTTTTTCTTCTGGTGAATGATTTTGTCGTTTTCTTCAATTTCGAAGGGAAATCATGGAAAAATTTCCGACGCCGCAAAGTTTCCTGATGCTCGGCGATGCGTACATGTCAATTCAAGAGCCTGACAAGGCCATCGAAGTGTACGAAATGGCGTTGAAAAGGAACCCACGGGACGCGGTGTTGGCCCGGAAGATGGGCCAGGCGCTGGTAAAGACTCATCAGTACGCGAAAGCGGTCAACTATTACAAGGAGGCAGTTCGGACGGGAGACGAATTGGGCATCAGCGACGGGCTTCGCTATGACATGGCCGAGCTGCATTTTCGACTACGACAGTATGACAAGGCAGAGAAGGCGATCGTGACTGCGTTGGATATTCGAAACCAAGGCCAGAGAGAGCTCGGGGAGAAAAATGAAGTGGCCGTGTTGAACATGGAAGCCAAGTTGCTTGCGCTTTTGGCACTCGTGAGTTTTCTTAGTTCATTTTTGGTAGAATTTTACTGCGTTTTCGGTTTAATCGATTATAAGACTCTGTCAAACAAGAGAGACGTCTCTATACTTTTAACTTTAAAAAATTTATCTTTATTGCTGCGAATGTCAGACGCATTTTATTTTATTAAATTCATCTAACATCGATTCCTGCTTTAGTTGCCAACTTCACCTACCCGAGATTCTAATCCTTGTGTCTTTCAACTGAAGATTATAGCCAGCATTTAAAAAATTGAGTTCGGACAATTGTGAGGAGCAATCTTGCGTTTCACCTGCGAAAATTAAACGAGTCCTAATTATTTTAAAAGCCAAGTTTCAAGAAAAATTCCTCATATAGTTGAGTGACACGTTATGGTAATTTGTACCGTTCATGAAGTAAAAGACAGCCTTTGCCTTTTCTGAACCCTTTTCTTAGGTACAAGAAAAATCCGGCCAGTTGGAGTTGGCCTTGGAAAGTTTGAAACGTGCGCGAGAAACTCAAGGCAAGGTTTTGAAACGAGCGCAAGTGGACCAATCTGAAAGTCTGGATCAGAAAAAGCTTGCTGCCAAGTGAGGAGTTTTTCCTTGCATTAATTCTTATATCAATATTTTTTTGCTACGTGCATTGCAAGATTATTGGGGAAAGTTCTACCTCTGTCATAAAATGGGACCAATTTCAACATAGCTCATAACCTCACAATATCCGGAAAATTAAGTTGGACCGAACGGTGACATAGTATTCCTGTGATCACGGATCCTGTCAGACGGGCATGTGTTTTATTTTTATTTTTGCCTGGAAAAGTTTAAGCTGGTCTAACAGTATTCATGGTTATCCGAACCCCCATTGTTCTAGATGATTTTCAGGAAGCTTCTTTTCAACATAATCCACGAGTTCTTAGTTTTTTTCAAACGAGAGGAAAAGGTAGATATGCCGAAATATGTTATCCCTTCTATTGAACAAAAACCATTCAAAAATAAAGGAAGAACAGGAAAATTCGCTCCTTTCATTGATGTGGTCGTTACTTTCTTCGTTCAGTCATGATTTTTACAACCACCCGGGCCGAGTTCTTTTGTTGAAAGTTTTATTTCTAACATGGTCTTAGATTTTCGAAACGTGAGTGACAAACAAAATATTTGCCTTGTTACACTTCCGAGCGGCCCTCAAGGAAAAAAAATCGCGCCACTCGTAAGAAGTTCCTAGAAATTGGAAAATTATTATTTAAATGCGCATCACAGTGAGGATGTCGTGTTATTTTTTTTCTTCAGCATATGCAAGCAAATGGCGGAGCATGCGGTTCAAGAGCGTCAATTTGAATCCGGTATCAGGTTTTACAAAGAAGCGCTGTCGTATTTGAACGATGACCCTGGTTTATTGCTCGACTTGGCCAAGCAGTACATGGTCGTCAACGATTTGGATCAATGCCGTCAAACCTGCGTTCAACTTCTCAAATTGGATAAGGACAACGACGCCGCCACCGTCATGATGGCTGACCTGGCATTTCGCAAAAACGACTATGAAACCGCCATGTTTCATTTCCAGCAACTCTTGGGTAAGGAAATAACGCAACTCTTGCCATCATAAATAATTAATCCCTCATTGCATCATTTATCTTTTATTTTGAAAGATCGTAATCCGACCAATTGGGAAGCTCTTGCTCGTTTGGTGGAAGTAATGCGACGAACTGGTCACCTTGAAGAATGCCCTACGTATTTGACCAAAGCTGCGCAATGTAATCCAAGAGCATCTTTACAGCCAGGATATTATTACTGCAACGGATTGTATCTATGGTGAGGACTGTGGTTACATTCAAAATAAAGGCCTTTTTCATTTCAGCGCTTTGCGAAATTGCGAGCAAGTGTTGCCAACGTAATGTAGCCAAAATTATTCAACTGACACCTGTTGTCCGGTCCCGAAATAAAATAAAAATTTGACAACGTGTCTTGTCTCCTTCCCTGTTAACTTTTAATTCGGAAACCTTCCAACTGTTAATTTTATGTTACTGATGTCCGGGGAACTTCTTTAAGTGTCCAACATTCAAGTATTGAATGAGTATAGAGTCTGTATATCTTCAGCAGATATATTTCTATCAACGTACTCATCTCCTTACGAGGTTATAGACAACACTGAACTTGCGCAGGCAAAAACAATGATTTATATAAACTTTGGTTGGCGGAATATAAGACAAGAAAAGGGGCTTTTTATCTTCAAAGGAATCTGGGCAGCAACAGAGGTTTGGGCTGCGAGGATCATTTGGTTTTATAATGAGGCGGTCGGTGATATGGATAAGGATAAGAGTTGACATCGCTGTCGAGTCGTCTCGGGACGCAGAGAGAATATTGAACACGGAGAATATAATATTACTTTGTTGCAAAGTAATCAATACATCAAAGGATTGCACGAAAGTTCTTGCCTCGGGATACTTCCCAAGTTTTGTCATATTTTATCACACTGATAACACACCATAAGAACTTTGTCCAATATTATCTAGCTTGCGAGTAAATCCTCAAAATGCTCTCCCTTCAGTTGACATATTCGATGGGAAATAAAATCGCGGTGTTTGGGACGCAAGCACTAAATTAGAAAAAACCTGAAAAAATTCTTCGAAAAGTAAGCAATTTAATCATTTAGCTCATCTAAGTTCACGCATTTCAAGTTGGAGTGGTCTTTTGCAAAATTCTTTCCTACAATTTTTCTTTAAAAAAAATACCGGGATCCCCGCGGTGTGTCGTTCATAATTAGAATTGCGCGGAGGGACTTCCTGCCTTGATGTCTTGCCTTCTCTGTTCTCAGGTACACTGGTGACGTAAACGAGGCCCTGAAATCGTTCAACAGAGCTCGCAGAGATGCGAAGGAATGGGGACAGAAGTCTGTGAAGAATATGATTCTAATTTGTTTGAATCCTGACAATGACACGATCGGTGGAGAAACGTTTGAAACTGTTGATGTTACCGCACCTGCTGGAGCGGAAGCTCCTCCAATGGCCCGCCCAGTTTCTGCCATCAGAGACATGAAAGACGCCCGAGAAATGGCTTTGCATACTGCTGATAAACTTTTCAAGGTAAACAGTATTGAAACAGGTAGTAAAAACGAGTTATATTGCTATTCACAGTTTCACAGATTATATTGAAAAAATAAGTTGGTCTTGTCTATCAACTTGCCGACAGACTAAGTGATATGCAATCACAAATATCTTCAAGACCTGTCGAATAATGGAAACGATTTATAATTGCGCAAATACACTCGTTGTGCGCTTTATTGACGAGATGAAAAAAATTAATCATGTGGAAGCAGATTTTGCGATTTTATCTTTCCTGAAAAGGGTGGGGGATTTAAATATCACACTTCCTGCGCTGCGATTTCTGCAATTTATCGTTAGTGTCAATTTACGAGTCCGATACTATACAGCGGCTTGCATGTGACACAGTCCTTTGCTTCGCTGATGAAGATAGACGAATAAGACGATCTCTACAACGATTTTCTCGGTTTAGCACATTTTTCGTTTTGTTTGTCCCGTGGGGTTCCCTACTCCACTAATAAAGGTATACTCTCTACTATTATTTTCTGGGTGTAACGATTTTTCTTTGTATGGTCCTTTAGGGTTCCCTACCCAACCCATAAGGGTTCTCTAAAACCAAATTATCTCTACATTGAGTATTTCTTGTCCCTGAATTTCGTTGTGACCATACAAAGAGAAAGCGTTATGCCCAGAAAATAATAGAGAGTCTACCTCTATTAGTGGAGTAATGAACCCCATGGAACAAACAAAAACAAAAATTTGCTAACCGAGGAAATCGTTGTAGAGATGTGTTTTTCTCAATACTGTACTTGGTGTTTTTCTCAATATTCCCTGTTAACAAATGTTGGTACAGTGCTGCATTTCCTCAATTTTTTACCGCGGAATTTTCGGAAATTTTTGCTCTGCAGTTCTTATCTTTTCTCATGCATTGGTTCTGTCTTTTTTTTTTTTTTTTTTTTTTTTT